AGCGGGCAACGTGTTCAGTCAGCGCCGTGATGAGGACGTAACAAACACTCCTCCGTGCATTGTTTGGCGCGGGAAACCGGAATAGACGAGTGGAACGATGAGGTATGCAACGGAGGGTCACTCCACGCATTAACGACCGCATTTTAACGGAATGTTCTCTCTAACGAAACCTCGATCCCCCGTGTTAAACCCTTCGGCTACTCACAAATATGACCGCACACTGGAGAGGTGGTCGCATCGCACCTTGGGCCCGTCGCACGGCCGCGGTACCGCAATGCACACCTTATGCGTTCTAACGACCGCATTTTAACGAAACATTCTCCCACTAACGACATAACGATGCACGCTCAAAGGGTCTCAGAGTCACGTCGTTACGGCACATTATAGCAAGCGCCGAACTCTCCACCGGTCGGTGGAACGACCTAACCGCCATCAGGGTGGCGCGGGCACCCAGCGCACCATCGGTGTGACGAGCCCGTCTGATTTCAGCCGACATGAGCAACGTGAGGCGACAGGACGTGTGGCTGGGTGGCAGCCGGACGTCGGCCGCACCGTCCGTGCACACACGTCAGCCTGTCAGCCTGCGACCCCCGCCGGCGGACAGGACGCGCGAGCCAGCCAGCTCGCCCCAGCGCCTGGCCGTCACAGAGCCGCCAGCGGGCGGAGCGCGCGAGCCGGCCAGCCCGCCCCGCGTCGCACGGCCGCCAGAGGAGGACGGGTGCTGCGCGTGCTGCGTCGGCGACGCCGCATCGGTGGCGCCGTACGGCCGCAGCGGCGGAGGCGTCTCCTTTGGCGGATCTTATGGCGGATATGGAGGAGGTTGCGATGGCGGCGGAGGTGGCGGATGTGGCGGAGGCGCTGGTGGGGATGGTGGAGGCTGCTGAGGGGCGATGACGGCAGTGATGGTGATTGACGCCATCGGAGGGATAACCATGGTATCCTTCCTTGGTAGGCTTTGGTTTGTTTTGGTATGAAATGGTAGGCTTTGAACTAACGTGCCGGACATTATTTTCCTTGGTTTGTCGCGTATAAAATCCCCGGTGCTTTTTTACCAAGACACTCGGCAAAGATAATACCTTGCGACACAGACCAAACCATTTATGTGGCGCAAACCTTTACAAACTAAGCAAAGATTAGCAATGTCATTGGTCTGAACACCAGGTGAAACTGCAGTGTGGCTTTCTCGCCTTTTCCCGCCTTTCATGTAGTGAAACTGATGTATGCCAACATTATCTTTCAGCCACTCGTTCATCGCGGAAAGACCCGCACCCCAAACCCGCCCCATCAATGTGTGCATCACACACTGTCGAGAAAAGTAAATCGGCGCCATAAGGTCGGCGCTAAAATTTCATTCCATCCGCTCCGCGACACACTCGCCAGTGATCATCGGTGACTATCTCATACGGCATCGTCGACGACGAATGATCACCAGCAGTGGAACGCATGGTCAGATCTTCTGTCCGCCGTCGGCGGACGTACATGACATGCTCGATCTTTGGAGACCGCGCACAAGATAGGCCAGCTTGCTCCTGTCGTCGGTGTTTGTGGATTCGTGCGATATTTGCACAAATTGCCTTGGATACCAGTCAAAAAAAGTCAGCTGTTTGCCGAACAATCTCATTTACAAATGTTTGGGCAGACGACTGGAACAACTGATATGACAAAACAATAGCATAATGTGATAATTGAATCAACACTACAGTACATCATCGTTCAATATTTCAAACGGCTACCCAAAACGTCTGAGACCTTCGTGACGCGTGTAATTTGTCAAAGCACTGTGCTTGGCTGCAGCAGAAAACAAAGGTTTCCAACCACGGAAGTGGAACATAGAATAATGGAATCTCAGTCACCCTGCGTTAAACCCTTCGACTAATCACGAATATGACCGCACACTGGAGAGGTGGTCGCACCGCACCTTGGGTCCGTGGCATGACCCCGGTACCACAATACGCACCTCATGCGTAATATTGATAGCGAACGATAAAGATCCCGGCAAATGCTGACAACGAACACGGGTGTCCACTGTGCATTTGTACTGCTGCTTGGTGATATCGCCCTGTGATGAGGAATCAGGATGGACACTGTTTACGTTCGTCATCCAAGCTGTCCATCGGGAGGAGATGTTCGATACTTAATAGAACCACTCGGAAGATAAATTAACTCCCTTACATTTGTGCTACTATCCTGATTCCAGGTACCTGACTATCACATACAGCATGTTGTTCCACGGAGTTCTACACGCGGTGTTGATTGTGCCGGAACTTGTGCCGGAACTTGTTGCTTGCTGTGTTTCACAAAACCGTTTCAAAGTGCTTTCACAGACGCTACTCATCGTTTTGTTTATAATTTTTACATATATTTATCTTAGGGTGACTTTAAGGCGATGCGTTGCCTGTCGGTCGATGCAGCTATCTTGGCGACGGCACGACCGAATAAATAAAGGCATGCAACCTTTACACAATGTCAATAAAAGGACGGTTCAAAAGATTGATATTGTCCGAGAAGTAACACACAAGCATGATCAATGTAAAAAACATTACCTACAAATCTTGAGTAACCGAAATATTCCCTATTCCATTTGTTTTCGCCGGAACGTTGTGTATTACAGCGCTGACATACAGGGGTGTTAATTTTTGTAAATAAATGGAACCGAAGGAAAGGCCTGACAACCTACCCGCCTTTTTTAGTTCTCACCGGATTTAACCCACTTCATTTTGATTACAGGGAATATGTGTTTGAAGTCTGCATAATATTTTAAAGCCTTTGATTTAAGCAGCATAGAAGTCGTGCAGGGGTGGATCCAGGGAACAGGCACTGGACGCGCGCGTCTCTTCTGATCAGCAAGTGAACGCTCCCCTTTAGAAACCACCTTAACGCGCCGACGGCACTCTTCTATGGCGGTCGTGGGAGGGGCACACATTTTGGTCGTGGAGGGCAGGGACGGGGTTAGCCATGAAGGATTTAGGCCGTACCCACATTCTAAAGCTTTTCATTTCATTCTCGCAAACCATTGCGTGTCTCATGGCACTTGATATGTGAAGTAAAATGCATCGCTTATCTGCTCAGCTGTTACGATTTGTATTTGTTGGTGTGAGCAGCCATGACTCTTTTACGTGAGTTTTGTACAAGACGCCACTACGCAGAAAGATCAAAGAAGATAGTCTGTGTTATCGTCATTTGTTACCTGTTTTTGGTTTTGTTTTGTAATGTTCCAGCCTGTTCGTGCGAAAGAGTTCGTTAGTATTCCGGAGGACCATCGATTTGATTCGAAAACAGACGTTGAAAAGGAAGAGTCTCTATTAGCCAAAGAGTTGCAAGGCAAATGCAAGAGGGGTTGGAGGGGCGGCGTCGCACACTCCGAAGTCGTCGTCGTCGTCGTCGTCGCCGTAAACTTTGACGCGGCTCGCGTCGAGCCGCACCGTCGGAGCCTGAACGTGGACTGCTCGGCAGGGACCGCGCGTCCCCGCCCACGTGTCCCCATAGAGGCTCACATATGGGCTCCAGATGGTGGGGACCAATCCGCAGAGGGGCCGCTCACACAATCGTGGAGACGCCGCTGCCGCGCCTGCAGCGACGGCCCGTTTGCTCGCCAACACGATCAAAACATCGGAGGTTGGGGGGGGGGGGGGGGGGGCAGCCAACAGGCGGTGCTCAACTTTCAATGGGCCCACCTCCGACTAAAAGTGTGCAGAGTATTTATAGCGCAAGGAGAAGACCCACGACAGCATGCAACATGCAAAATTCATTACGAATCAGGAAAAACGTCATCACTTGAACTGAGAAAATGCCGCAGCATACCAACCGTCATCGGAGTGCGCCGCCAGACGGCGCCACCGTCGGGGAAGTGCCGAGGAACGCCGCCAGGTGCCGGCATGGCAACCAATTAACGCCGGAGGATCTCGCCCGACTCTGCCACCGTTGGCAGAGCGCACGAGTCAAGGCCAGGAGGCAATGACAGCCGGCGCCGGTACGTGGTGAGGGCGATGGGTCTCCGCGTTGCTGAGTCAGTGTCCTCCCAAGGTCAGCCGAGCGTCGGCGGCTCCAGAGCCAGCCGGCCTGCTCATGCTGTCGCAGAACGGCAAGACCAAGGATGCGTCGTAAAGAGGGGTTAAGACAATAAGGATAATTCATGCAAGAAGTCAGCTGCAGCATGATCGCAACCCACACCGGTACCCAGCAGGCGCTCGCCCATGGCCATATTGCATCGTGTAAAGCCTCGTTGGCTCAGCGCCCCTCCTGTCCGCTACCAGAAGAGCCCGAACCGTTTAGCGGAACGCGAAGCTGTGCGTTTGGGGGCACGTGACCCCGCTGACCGGTCGGCTGGTCGCACAACGATCAGCTGGGCGGAGCGAACTGTTTCGCGTGAGAGGCCTTTAAAGTTAATCCGAGGCCGGTGTGTAACTTCTGCAGATTGCGTGTTACCGTTTGCACTCGGCTTCTTGGCCTTGAACGTCCGGTGGTGCGGTATTTTTGAGATCTTACAAGCAGTTTTGTCCTAGCAAGTGGGTTGCGGTAGACAATTTCGAAGTACTGCGTCCGACTGATGAGTACATGTACAAATGCGAATATCCTCGACCCAAGCCAGATCAGTGTTTGGTCACAAATCCACATTCAGCAATCTCAAATCATTCCTTTGTGATACACCATTTCAGCCGATCTATCTATCTCTCATCCATCTATCTATCTATCTATCTATCTATCTATCTATCTATCTATCTATCTATCTATCTATCTATCTATCTATCTATCTATGTGTCTATCTATCTATCTATCCACCTATATATATATATATATATATATATATATATATATATATATATATATATATATATATATATATATATGCTACTTGTGTCAGTCATGACCGTGTCTGCTCTGCTCCTGACGTTGACTGAAACATGTAAGTTCGGAGGTAATGATCTAAGTTATCGATTTATCGATTAAGGTAAGTAAATCGCCGCCGGACGGATAGCGCAAGAGGTGGAAAGCATGAGGCATGCATACACTACTATGTTTATTCATTCGCTGACATTAGTTTGAAGATTGGTTAACTACTAACAGAAATCTGCTCATACACTTAGGATGGCCAGCACCCATGAAGCTGACCCAAAGAATTGGGATCGGCCTCCATTTCACCAAAATGGTTTCCTTAAGCATGTCTGCCAGTAAATGTTTATGAAGAGCAGTGCAACTATACCTGATTCAATATCAATAACACGTCTACACGAAATGAAATTACAGAAGATGTTTCAGTGGTAAGTCGCGCAACGCATTATAGCATGGAAAACACGCACGCGGTACCATTTTCAGACGAAAGAGCATGATGGAGCATATTGTTTGGCTTCAACGTATTATTTATCGGTCAAATCACGTCTAACGGCGTCACTTTCAGCCGCAATTTATTAGTTGAGGGGCTGGGCGGACGCCTTGTGGCCTAACCTGCGGCAGAACTCGATATTGGACCTAAAGCTCGGCGCATCCGACCCGTTGCACGACAGCAGGGGGAGCAGCCTTAGGGGTGTTGTGGGATGACAGCCCAGTGGGGCAGCTGCACAGGTGGCCGCATATTCGCAAAACCACTAAGACCCAACCGCAGCCACGGTCAGAGCTCGTCGCGCCGTCGACTGGACGATCGCTCGTGCGCGTTCCAGGACTCGGCCAGCGGCAGGCTCCTCCAGAAGCGGACGCGCTCCTCGAAGGCGCGGGCGCCGAGCGACGGCGCCGCGTTCAGCCGCAGGTGGCGCTGGCTCTGCTCTGTGAAGATGGGCCAGGCGGGCGCGGCCACCACGTCCGTGGCGGGGTAGCCGCGCCGCGCGAAGCTCGTCCACAGGCTGACCAGCAGCCGGATCATGGCGTACTCTGGCGAGCCACGCTCCGGCAGCGACTGCCGCTCGCCGTGGAACAGGTAGGGCAGGTCGTCAGCGTGCCCCACGACGGGCAATGGCGGGAGCGGCATCTGCAGCAGGTCGGCGAAGCGCAGCTGGCCAGGCCCCACGTGGTCCAGCACGTACTTGTACACGGGAACGTACTGCGACGCCAGCTCGGACTCGACCGACAGGGTCAGAGTAAAGTAGCGCTCGCTGAGGTAATCCATGAGAGCTGCATTGCCACGGCTCTGGTAAAAGTCTTGGATCTTAGCGGCGATATCGAGCGACTTTGCTGTCTTGTCTGGAATACCGCCGCCACGAGGGAGAACCTCCGATGCCCAGACTTGCGGGTCCATTGCCTGGGCTCGCGTAAGCAAGTCCGGGTCTGGGAATAAGGCGCCAGCAACGGTCGCACCTTCATCCTGTGTGCAGCCCATCATCCAGGGCACGCGGCTGAACTCGCCCCGCTGGAGCAGCACGTTCGGCTCTTCCGGCAGGAACGGCGACGTGGACTCCTGGTCGACTCGAGGGCGGAACTGGGTCCACATGCCGTTCACCACTGAGCTGTATGGACCGAGCGCGCCCAGCACGCGCATGATGTCGGCCGCCGGCGCGCGACGCACGCACTCCAGCACGGCCCGGCTCTCCTCGGAGGGACAGCCGAGCTCAGCAGCGAAGTGCAGCGCCAGGGGCCGTTGACGGTCGCCCAGCGCCCAGAAGGCCGAGGCGCCACCCGACTGGCTGACGGCCCGGTGGAAGAGGCCGGCGGATAGCGGGCTGATCACCTGCAGCGAGACGCTGGCGCCGCCGGCCGACTCGCCGAACACCGTCACCAGCTGCGGGTCGCCGCCGAAGCGTGCGATGTTGCTGTGCACCCACTGCAGCGCCAGCACCTGGTCCAGCAGACCCACGTTGCCCGGCGCCACAGCGTCATCAGTGGTGAAGAAGCCGAACACGTTGAGTCGGTAGTTAAACGTGACGACCACGACATCCTCGTCCATCAGGAAGTCGACGCCGTGGAGATCTGCGTCGCCGGAGCCGCTGATAAAGGCTCCGCCGTGGATCCACACCATGACGGGCAGACGGGGCTCACCGTCACCGGCTGGCAGCCGGGGCGAGTACACGTTGACGAACAGGCAGTCCTCCTGACCCTCCATGACGTTGCTGTCCATCATGTTGTACTGCAGGCAGATGGGGCCGTGCCGGGCGGCGTCGCGCACCCCCGACCAGCCGGGGTGAGCGCGCGGCGGCCGGAAGCGCAGGTCATCCACCGGTGGTCGGGCATACGGGATTCCCTTGAAGGCGGCGTACTGGCGCCCCTCGAACGAGCGGAGTGTGACTCCACGCAGCGTGCCGTCCCCGAGCTGCACCAGCGGCCGCTCGGCCAGCGCCAGAGCCAGCCACCCGAGCACGAGCAGCGCACGCATGGTCCCGGCGAGCTTCGTCCGACGACTGAGTGAAGGTCGCACGCCGGGCGGGCGGGCGCGTGGGCACTCGAGCCCGTCGCCAGATAACGAGTGGTGACTTGCGGTTGGCGTACACCGGCATCGAGGGGCGCAGCCAGAATTTTGCTCGGGCCCAAGTCGGGACCTCATGAATTCTTTCGGTAAAGGGTCCTATTTTGTTCGCCCTGTTTTGGGAGGGGAGATTTGAAGGACCTTTGAAGCATCAGCGTCCCATTTTGATACCTCGTGGGCCCGTTTTACGTTAGAGAATTCCTTCGGGTCGGACGACTTAAACAGTTTGATTCAGTCACAGGGGGGCCCCACCTCCAAGAGGTGGAGCGATGACCCCAAAATGTCGCCTTGCTACGCCACTGCCAGCATCTGCCGGGCGCCCGGTGTTGAACCGGCTGCGGGCGCGGTATCCCCCAAATGGTGCCTGGCTACGCCACTGCCAGCATATGCCAGGGCGCCCGGTGTTGAACCGCCTGCGGGCGCGGTATCCCCAAAATGGTGCCTGGCTACGCCGCTGCCAGCATCTGCCGGGGCGCCCGGTGTTGAACCGCCTGCGGGCGCGGTATCCCCAAAATGGTGCCTGGCTACGCCGCTGCCAGCATCTGCCGGGCGCCCGGTGTTGAACTGAGAGCGGGTGCGGTATCCCCAAATGTTGTGACGTACCTCGAGGCCGTTGTCAGGTGTGGATCCATGTCCCGCAGAAGTTACACACGCACCCCGCGGAGATGCCCAGGAGCAACGCTACCAGAGGAGTAAGGGGAACAGACTCTTCCCATTTGCCAAGGAGGCAAATATAGCCACTGATGGCCTTATTTACATCTCTCCCCCTTGTCCGTTCTACACAATGTGAGGCACAACGCACGAGAAACCATCCCTGAAGTCCGTCAAGTTTCGTCGTCCTCTTATAACGCTGTCCGCCGGTTGAGCCACAGCTGAATACGGTTTCAGCGTGCGACATGAGCTGAAAATTTTCTTTGGTTAATGACGATGCAGAGGAGGATCAACGCAGCGACAGTGTGTTACGTGTTCACCTTCTCCTGGATCAAATTGATCCAGTTCATGCCGCAGCCGCTTTTGCCAGCCTGAGCGCATCTAACCGAATGACGCTTGGCTTCGCTAAAGACTGCGCCATAAACCGTGACGGTGCAGATCTAGAAGGTGTATGCGAACTCTGGGACCTCCAAGCGTGGTTATCGTTGGAATGCTTTATCGAAACCGTAATCATTGGCCAGATAAGCTGTAATTTTGCATAAGCGAACAACACTTTCAGAATCGAGCGTCCAACCATGATGTAGCTCAGGGCAAAAATACATGAAAGATTACCCTGCAAAAACTTTTGCCGCTGTGCATAAACACGCTAATACAACGATACATTTAATGGCCAACTGATCAAGATAATGGAGCAACGGAGCAACGGACGGAGCCCCTCCCAGCGTGGAGCAACGGACGTCCGCCCACGCTGGGAGGGGCTCCGTCTCACCCCGAAGAGGGGTCTGTGCGCGGGGTGCGTATCGGCGGCCGAGCATCACCGGATACATGAAGTCACGCACCCGCCCGTTACACTCCTCGTCCCATGGCTGTGCAACGTTAGCGTTGCGGTACCGATGGTCTGCGATCGAGATGCCTGAATCGGCTGTGCTGCCGCGTCCCTAAACGCAACCACGGACATACATTCACGGCTTCATCTCACGAGCAATTTGCTACACTTCAGTAGAATGCAGCACGGCGGCGCTCTACCGTTCAAGGTGCAAAAAGTGTAGGCTGATCTAGGCATTCGAGCGGAAAACTACGGCCATGCATGGTGTCAGCCGAGAAAAGCTGGCAGGCTGCATGGAAGTGCTGTCACACCGTGATCTGGCACCACCAGTATTTATCTACAGTCCCAACCTTGACTGTCGCCACCCGAGCGTCAGCAGATCGTTTACTCTCGGTCAGGGTTTGTGCGTCATCAGCCTGGCCGGATGGTTGTCTGGCGTCGGGATCGGTCCTGGTGTCACGTTCCCTGAGCTGAGGTCAGTACAGTTTACACGTCTGCGCCGTCGGCGGCCGCTCCTTAGCGTCAGTTGGAAGCGAGCCAGGCGGGCCCCATGATGACACCATGACAGAGTGAAAATGAGGTGGTTGGATGAGGTAGGGAGCCAGCACAGAGAGGAACCAGCGGACAGTTCTTCCACGCATTGGTAATGCAAAGAGAGGGACGGCCCATGTGGAAGATCATCTTTGAACGTTTGCCTGCATTTTCGGATGAGGCAGGAACAACAGTGGTTATGAGCCAAACGTTATGTCGGAAAACCATACACGACCTTAACATACAACCTGCATGCGGACTTATGTGAGGAAAACATAAATAACTTTATGTTTATAATACAATGATTTAGCCTGGAAAAAGACACTGTAAGCACGCTACAGGTTACGCGCCGCTTACGTCACGTTTTTCTGGAATAATTCATTGCATCACGAGAATTGGGTTACCCCGATTCCCTCTGCATACACCATAATGCTGCTCATGGAATAAGCGTTATCTAATATTCCCTTTCACGCGGTTTATTTTTATTTGCACTTGGACTTAAACCTCCATCAGTCAACGGGAGCACCCTACCTTCTTTGTACTTTCCACTTATTGTTAGATCAGATGCGTATGGGTTGATCAGTGATATCAGCTCTCTCGAAATCCTTCTAAATAACTCAAAATTTTGATTTGAAATATCCCACACTGCGAAGAAATCTCATCTGACTCCCTGTTAACCACCATGAAAGTGAAATATTTCATTTGCATTGCTTTTACCAACGTGTGTATTTTGTTATGTTTGCAAGAAAAATAATGCACTGTAATACACTAATAATTAACTATTTTAAAAATGTTGGTGTAATAAATGCTACGGAAGCTTGAAACTCCGTTTTAAAAAAAAAATATACGCCAGCATGAAGCTATTACCAAGCGAATTGGACAAAACGTTATGCTTTGACTTTGGTTTCTCCCCTATGACGTTTAATACAGCAGCTCTTTTGAGCCGCATTTTGGCTTTGAGAATGGAAGCATCATAAGGTCCATAGTGACGCACTGGTTCAAACTTCAACCAATACGCTCCTCGGCGACGGGCCCTTCCCGCGCGCTGGGCCAATCACAAACGTTTTTTTCTATATTTTTTATTCGCACCAGACGATGTGCCACGGCAAATGCCATCACGACGGCGACCGCGACTGCAGGGAAGAAGCGTAGTGCTGTTACGAAGCGTTGACAGCACAATTTGGACTTGGAGGTAATTAAATTAATATTCTTATTACATCCTAACCGTGATGTAGTGACACTGCCCAGTGTCATCATTAGGCGTACCTGGCCCTGATGTTTAACTAGAGTATAAGCCCCAAAGGTTGGCCACTCCTTTTAAGATAAGTTTATCTCCAGCATAATTATCACGTGAGTACTATGGTGTCCGTAACAATAATTAGGCAGGAATGGGTTGGTACAGGATGGGTTGAAGCGCAATTTCGAGAATGCTAAAAGTCAGTGGAAAAGAAAGTAAGATAATGTTCAAAGTACACGAACACAAAACACTACTGAACGACAGATATATTTCGTGCTTGTTCATTTCTCATAATCTTCGGTATTGGGATATGGTACAACATTCAAAGCATAGATGTACGGGTCATCAATATGCGATGCAATATTAATATCGCGAGTGATATGCAACTCTATCCGTTCGTGTTAATAATGGGATCAGTGATGCGGAACACCGTCCGTTCCTGCGTCTGTGTCCGGCTGCGTCTGGTTTCGGTGAGTGTTAGTAATATTAGATTGAATTTGGCAGGGTTCAGGGTACAGGGTTCACCGGGTTCACTTAGTTTGGGCTCGAAGATATAGCATCAAGTAACCTTAAGGCTACCAGCATATGTTTACAATCCGACAAATATTCCAATCTCTTTGTGCACTGCGCTACAATTTCGAAAGAATAGCACATGTTTTCCTTAAATGTTATTGCAATCTGTATTCCTGTTCAGTTCTCCTTGGTTGGTGCCATTCCTGTATTTTCAGCAGAAGCATGGATGGAACAACAATGCAGGCCGTGGTCTTGGCTGGGAAACGACGCTTCTGAACAAGCAGATGGAGGAAAACCCAATTTTCTCACGATTGGTCACGGCAACACCATGATAATGTGAAAATGGACAACTTTCTAGTGGTGACCAGGACACGAAGCCCAATTTGTGGAAGCCAGGATGGATATTTTACGGGTTTTACTTCAGATTTATCTCGGTCAGTATTTGTAGCTTTCGCGAGACAGGTAAATTGCTTCATTCAGGTGAGGCGCGTGGCCAGTTGGTTATGGGAAAGGGGAAAGGGGGCGGGGGGGGGACGGGGAGGGAAACTGGCGCGTTAGTCTCTTGACGCTGTTTTCAACAGGTGAACATGGCGGGAAAACAAGGCAGAGGCGTCGGTGCAGGACGTGTAAATGTATACAACACAAAAAAACACTTCCGGCTTCTGGCAAAACAATCTTCACCATACAAAAAACACTTCTGGCTTCTAGCAAAACAATCTTCATCATACAAAAAACACTTCTGGCATTTTGAGGTGCCCAGTGAGAGCTAGTTTTGAGCGAAAAGTTAACTATGTACTGCACTGGTAAAAATAAGGTGAATGACGAGCAACTAGGGTTTCTAGTGCTGGCAAATACACAAGCATACCGAACCATAATGACAAACTGTCATACCCGCGAACATGGCTGTGGAGACTCCAGCAAACTGAGGATTTCTTCCCCCTTCCGGGACCGTTTTCGTCATTAGTGAGCAGGAGTGGGTCCACGTCCAGGCAGGTTCAGACTCGGACCCGCGCTGAACGTACTCCGGGATTTCGACCGTGAAATGAATCGGTTCATGAGCTGGCTCAACGGTATGAAGAAAACCCAAGCCGCGTCTATTGTTAGCACACAGGACGCGGGGGACTCGGACTGAATTCCGACTCGAACATCCTGGAAACACGTGACT